TTCATATCATATATCCGTCGGAAACATATCCTAGGAGCTACTTGAATTCCCACTTATAAACACCTGAAATTTTCCGGTTATGCAATCACGTGTTGGGGATACAGGGGAAGCATAATATCTCACCCAATACTAACAAATCCTACATCCAGCTGTATCCATCCTTCAACACATAACCAAGAAACCTTCGGAAATCATTTACCTCAACCTTCGAAAAGCATCCATTATACGAGTTATGGCAATACTCCCAAACTCCCGCCCCAGTACTGGGTGGCGTCGAGGTTATCTCACCAACAACTGCATAAAAGAGATTTTCGATGTCGGCGAAACTAAACTCAGGTATTCCAGAACTGCAACGATAAAATTGTGACGACAACACCTTGGAGCTCAACTCCCCGGGACACTGCCACAACCCCTAAATGTCAGGAGGCACCAAGAACAATGTTCTCGTCACAAAACCATTGAAATGATTCCAAGATACCCGCGTGATCCCAAATTTTTTAGTGAAATTTGAGAAGAGAAGAGTCAAAACTCTATGTCAGGATGCCTCACCAGAGTGACGAAGGGACTGAGGAGTAAAAAGAATTCCTAACTCTCTGATATATATAATCCTAAATGACTCAAAACACTTTTCTAGACTCAACAACTCCAACGATTCGATCAAGCAGGGGGCTCCTAAGGTCGGGGAAGGCTCTGATTACCAACTTGTGACGCCCTCGATGCGGCTATATCTCCCACGTGTCGAAGCACGACTTAGAGGCATAACCGCATTGAAAGCAATGTCGCAAGTGAAGTAATCTTCACACAACCCATGTAATACATAAGGGAAAAGATACATAGTTGGCTTACACTCGCCACTTCACACAATACATGAATAAAGCATTACATCATCCAGATACAATCAGGGTCTGACTACGGAACCAAAATAAAAGAAGACTACCCCAAATGCTACACAGATCCTCGATCGACCCCAACTAGGCTCCACTACTGATCAACTAGAATGAAACGACACAAAGGACAAGATCTTCAACGAGCTCCTCCTTGAGCTTGGTTGCGTCACCTGCTCGGTAACATCGGCACCTGCAAACTGGTTTTGGAAGTATCTGTGAGTCACGGGGACTCAGCAATCTCACACCCTCGTGATCAAGACTATTTAAGCTTATAGGAAGGGTAAAAGGTATGAGGTGGAGCTGCAACAAACGACTAGCATATATGGTGGCTAACATACGCAAATGAGAGAGAGAAGAGAAGGCAAAGCGCGGTCGAGAAAGTATGATCAAGAAGTGATCCTAGAACAACCTACGTCAGGCATAACTCCAACACCGTGTTCACTTCCCGAACTCCGTCGGAAAGAGACCATCACGGCTACACACGCGGTTGATGTATTTTAATTAAGATAAACTTCAGGTTTTCTACAACCGGACATTAACAAATTCCCATCTGCCCATAGCCGCGGGCAGGGCTTTCGAAAGTTCAAAACCCTACAGGGGTGTCCCAACTTAGCCCATCACAAGCTCTCACGGTCAACGAAGGATATTCCTTCTCCCAAGACAATCCGATCAGGCTCGGCATCCTGTTACAAGACATCCTCGACAATGGTAAAACAAGTCCAGCAACACCGCACGAATGTGCCGACAAATCCCGATAGGAGCTGCACATATCTCGTTCTCAGGGCACACTCAGATAGGTCAAGCTACGAGTAAAACCAACCCTCGAGATGCCCCGAGGTGGCCTCGCAGGCTGCCCATTTCGGACCAACACTCAGAGGAGCACTGGCCTCGCATAACTCCAACACCGTGTTCACTTCCCGAACTCCGCTGGAAAGAGACCATCACGGCTACACACGCGGTTGATGTATTTTAATTAAGATAAACTTCAGGTTTTCTACAACCGGACATTAACAAATTCCCATCTGCCCATAATTGCGGGCACGGCTTTCGAAAGTGCAAAACCCTGCAGGGGTGTCCCAACTTAGCCCATCACAAGCTCTCACGGTCAACGAACGATATTCCTTCTCCCAAGACAATCCGATCAGGCTCGGCATCCTTGTTACAAGACATCCTCGACAATGGTAAAACAAGTCCAGCAACACCGCCCGAATGTGCCGACAAATCCCGATAGGAGCTGGACATATCTCGTTCTCAGGGTACACTCAGATAGGTCAAGCTACGAGTAAAACCAACCCTCGAGTTGCCCCGCAGGCTGCCCCGCAGGCTGCCAGGTCGCATTGGACAACACCGGAAGCAAAGAGGGGAAGGAGGATGGACTAGGTGGGCTGTGGCGAGACTGCGAGGGGAGGAAGAGAGAGAGAGGGCCCGGCATCTGTTTCTGGAGACCGAAAACGTCCAACATTAGACCGACTATAATGTCGCTATAGTTATCCGTTGGGCTATCAAACGAACTCCGAATGCGATGAAACTTGGCAGGCGGCCTACCTACAACACAACAACACCACATGCCAACTTTCAACCCATTCCGAGAACATTTTCTGGCCACTTATAAAATACTATTTCGGACATGCCTCAGGCGCGTGCAAGTGTGTTTGGGCTCAGAACAGACAACGGACGGAACTGGGGGAACCCGGACTAATGCAAGTTTTGAAAACATGATGATGCAATGCACATGATGACATGACAAGATGCGACACACTAGCAAAAGACAAGGCAACAACAGCGAATAACTGGAGGACACCTAGAACAACGGTTTTGGGGCGTTACAACATTGATTTTTGCAAAATAAAAAATACTTCTCTTGCTTCATGCCCATCTCTTCTAAAAATTTCTCATCCACAACACTGGTTTACAAGCATCAACCTCATATTTGTACTCGGCTTCTATGGTTGTTGCAGAAACACATTTATGTAATTTTGATTGCCATGACACTACTCCCCCAACATAAGTTGTTCGGTATGCAAAGGTTGACCTTCTAGGATCAATGTCAGCACAACAATCTCCATATCCATTGCCTTAGAGTCCAAGATTACGACTTCCAAAGCATGAACACGATGTAGAAGTTCCTTTGATATACTTCAGAATCCACTTCATTGCTATCTAGTGAGCTTTACATGATTTTGTTATGAAGAGCTAATAAATTTAAAACCGTAGGCAATATCAGACCTAGTGCACGCCATGGCATACATCAAACGCAACATACTGGTACGCACTTAAGTCATTTGTTTTTTCCTTTCTTTCTTGTAGGTTATTGTCCAATAGCCAAATTTTTATGGCTTGCTAGTAGATATTTAAATGATTTTGCATACTTCATATTGAACATTTCAACTACCTTCGCAATGTGTCTTTTATGTGAGAGGCAAATAGGCTTCCTTGATCTATGATGGGGATCTTCATGCCAACTATTTGCATGGTTGGTCCCAAATCCTTCATGGCAGATGATTTTCTAATTGCCTTAGTAAGGAGAGCAATCGTCTTGTGCATTTTCAAACACATGTCATTAGCATATAGCAAGATAATAAGAAAATCAGCATGGAAACACCACTTAATGAAGACATAATGCCTAAGTTGTGATTTGTGGTAACCAAAGTAAGTCATAAAAGACTCAAAATTCTTGTACCACTACGCGGAGCTTGCTTCAAGCCATAGAAGGTCTTTTTTGAATTCCACAAATATGCTCCTTGCCTACAACTATGAATCCTATTGACTGGTCCATATATATCTTGACCTCTATGCCACCATTTAAGAATGCTCCAAGGTGTTAGTATCATATAGAAAATTCATCTCGTCCTATATGGCTTCCAACCATTCATTCTTGTGTGTATCAGACATTGTCCCAGTTGCATCGCTCTTCACCACATATAGATATGGTGGATGCTTGCATGAAGGCACTCAATCTCTCCCACTTCTTTTCTCCTACACTGGTGAGGAATCAGGTGAACTGTCATTAGCTTCATCATTCCCATCATTATCAGGATTATTAGAGGCTCCTCATCACTTTGACATATACTTCCTTGGATAGTTGCACATCCATTGTCTTTAGTGTCATCATCTCGTCCATGATCCCCATGCATGACAAAAAGGGGAATTGGATCCATGTTAAGCTAAGATTTGGTGGTCTTTGGCTTCTCTGGTTTCCCACTAACATTTACTATTTCAATTTTCTCAAACACCATCTTCACTTCTTAGAATCCTTATATCTGTTAGATCCCTCAAACTATAGCCATACTCCTCACTCGGCTGGCTGAGAAAGCTGCATTTCTTTGTCTTGCTATTAAGATTGAATCTCGCATCCATTGGTATGAGCACAAATGCACTACAACCAAAGACCTTTTGGTGATTGTAATATACCTCTTTCCCTGACCAAATTGTTTGAGGAATATCACCAACAAGAGGAACTAAGCAACATAGGTCAAAAACATAAATAAATTTCATGAATCCTTTAGTGTAATATTAGGTAGTTTAGCACGAGATATTATTAGTACAAATCTTTCCGCAATTGTCCTATTCATTCTCTCCAAAGATCATTGACATAAGATGTTTTTGGTGGACTCTTCTCAAGCATGATGCCATACTTTTTATGGTGCCTTTCTAAATGGCCTTCGTGTCAACACCATTGTATGATACCACACATTGTAGCATCCTGCGAGTTTCACTTTCCACTTTGGTAGGAAAATCCTTGAAGATTCTATCACCCAATGACTATTTTCAACACAAAACAAAAAACTTTTCTAGAACGGTCAACAATGAATGTCAAAATGATATTGCTCCACTAATGGGTTTTAAGTCATGGAGCAAACATGCACAATATCAAGAACATTCACACAGGGTTGAGGGATTGTAAATATGCAAGCCTAAGTTGTTTTCCAGAAACACAATGTTCATTGGGTTTCAAGTATATAACTTTCAATTCAGCGAGGTACTTCCATGCTAGGAAGAAAGTTCATGCCATTCTCACTCATAAGACCAAGCCTGTTGCACCTGAAATCAATCGAGATTTCTTTCTCGGTAATGTTCAACACTTATATAGACAACATGGTTTTGGTCATATAGAGAAAACCTTGCCCACTTCCTTGAGCAATAATCAAAGAGCCTTTGGTGGGCTTCCACTATCCTTCGCCAAAATATCTAGGATGTTTGATATAACTAAGCTTGCCCACTAATAACAAATTCAAACTTATGTTTTGAACTTTTATAGCATCATTGTTCACCAACTTGCAACATTTTTGTTCCTCAATGCATATAGAGACTTCGCCAATAGCTTTCGGTGAACTACTATTTCCCGTAATCACTTTTTTGTAACATATGTTGTCTAGGATGTGCAATACTCATTTTATATGTAATGTGGGAGGACACACCAAACACACAGCTGAAATCATTGAATATCATGAACATCTATAGAATTCTTCATCTTTAGTGACTAAGTAGTCTTCAACTAGTGAAGTTATGGCTTAATTGTTCCCAACATTTTTCTCGGTTTTCTTTGTATGTTTACTCTCGACAAACTCTCTTTGTATGTCATGACGTTCCACAATTAAAGCAAGTAATTTCTTTTATCTATTTTGACTCTGATCTCCATCTCAATTTATCTCTACCTTACCGAACTCTTGTGTGACTGCATACATGATTCTAATTCTTCACATCAATTTGATGCACATACACATTAAAAGAAGGAGTGCCATTCTTTCCCTTTTTCTTCTTTCTGGTATCTCCATTTAGCATATTGTTCTTCACCATCTCCAACGCGAGCTTACAATCTAGAGCTGAATATTTTTGGGATGCAAAAAAAGTATAATCCAACTATTAAGGATGGAACCAATTAGAAACAATACTCACACATCATCCTCAAAATTGATCTTAAACATTGAGTGTTGATTTATATGGCATTAGGATGCATTCAGGTGTTCAATCACATTGTTGCCATCTTAGTAGACAAACTTAACAAGTATTTTGATCACCAAAGCCCTATATATATACATATGTCTTCCTCTCATATATAGCCTCTAAACTCCGGCACATCTCATACACATTTTTTGATTTGCAACATGGTGGAATATATGGTGGTTAATGTGCGAACCATTCATACCTATTCGATTTGTATGCATCACTTTCCATTCCACGTATATGACATTGTTGTGTATTTTATCTTTACAATTGGCTCCTTGCAAAAGGATGTCTTTCATCATGGGATACCATAGAGAGAAATCGGAAAAAGCATGTTTTATCATGCCACTTGCTGTGGCGCCTTATTCCATAGAAATTGTGAGCAAGCTCTTCGAGTACAATCAAAGAAATGGGATTAGCAATCTGGACGGTATACCTCTATCAAGAATTAGCATCCATATATGATCTAAACCTATAGTGGAAACAAAGCAATCTTGCACCAATTCTTGTACTAATTCAAGGATATGAGGAAAATAACTCTCACAACACACCAGACACACCACAAACATTGACTTGCATGAGCACCAGTCTTAACTATAGTAGTAATGTTAACAAACTAACACAAGATCTTTGCATGGTAAAACCACAAGTTGTGATAAAATCGACGATCCAAAGTGACCCAATCTATTTACACTGTTATCAAGTGCGGTATACAACACTTTCTTCTCCATGTTGCACTAGATGTTCTTATACATGAACATATTTGGTTCTTTGATGACAAAAACAAGATTAGGTACTATGAGAGCTATAGATTGGAACAACTAACCAAACAACAGAGATACACAACTTGAAAGATATAAGGTGGTAGATCTATTCTTCACAGCGTTTGAGGAGGAATTTCCTTTTCTTGATGGGAAGATATTCCTTCAATCTTCATATTCTTCGCATACTATCTTCGTTTTATCTTTTACTTCATCAACGGAGGCTAACCTGAAATTCATCACACCTCTTCGTAAACAGTTGTATATGAGGTTGGAAATTACCCTCCCTTGTTGTGCAAAATCCAAACTGACCATCGGTCATAACCCCAACTGGTAGTGGGATCTTGCACAAGTTTTGGCTGCCTACAAAAGCTTTAAATGTTAATTTCCTCGTATCTCACATGAGGAGGATATCCCAGTAGAAGCTATAAAGCAACATAATAGATAAAGGAGCAATGCCAGGCAACCACATCGGGCCATACATTCTCAATTCAACATTTTTTTACATAAATAATTGATGGTAAAATTCCTATCTTTGCACCATAACGAACATGCATGCACCTAATAGTGTAAATAATGTAGGTGAATCGAAGAAATATGTCATCCATCCCCAGGGAGGGATGACGATCCCATTTGGAGGGGAAAAGCCCACTCCCGAAAGATGGTCATGGATTGATCCATCTGTCTTCAAGCTAAGGAGTGAAACATTCCTCAGGCATGAAAACCTATAGAGGAAAATCTAGTTGATAAAGGGGATGACCATACCAAACCTCTGATTTTAATTTCTGTTTTTCAGAGATAAGAAGAAATGTCCAGCTCCGAACTATGCCGCGTACTACCCAATAGGTGTTGACTTGTTTGCAAGCCCCAAGAAGGTTTCGCACATCGCCGAACACATTGATCTTCCACAAGTCAAATCACACGACAAGCTCCCATCACTTTTGATCGTCAACATCCAGGTATATCTAATAGGTATATATAGTTTCTCATCTTTGTCGCTTTGATCTTCATTTCCTTTTTTCTACAACCACAGATGCCTACCTATCCTGCTGCTATGTTCCTCGGGGACAGCGATGGAGAAGGGTTCAGCCTTTGTTTGTACTTCAAAATCTCAGAGTACTTTGACAAGGAGGTTTCAGAGCATTTCAAGGAATCCATCATGGTGAGTGCCTTCTCAAGTCAACATACTAATGTTGTAATATTATAACTTCTTTATAGTGAGTTCTATTAATGTTTCTTTTGGCAGAGATTTCTTGAGAATGAAGGTGAGAAGGTGAAAGGGTTTGCATCAGAATCTACAATGGCATATAGAGATCGTTTGAAAATCATGGCTGGATTGGTTAACCCAGATGATCTTCAGTTGAGTTCCACAGAGAAAAAGCTTGTCCAAGCATACAATGAGAAGCCAGTCCTCTCCCGCCCTCAGCATAGTTTTTATGAGGTTAAGAAACAAATTCCTTTTCATATATTATTAGATGGACACGATTAAATATTATAAATATTATGTGTGTGTATGTGTTTTTATGTTTTTTCAGCCCAAGAAACTAACAAAATATTTCAAAACTAATAAATAATTTCATAACGTAGTAGATTTTCAAATATGCTCAATAGATAGTAAATTTCCTCTTTAAATTTCATAACTGAACATAACCACATAATGATAAATAAGTAAATTGTAGAAACATTATCAGGCGGGTTAAAACCATTTCATTATTCTCTACATTGTTTCAATGTTTGTAAATATAATAATAAATTGGGCATTATACTAGTGTACATGAAATTAAGTGTTTTATCTCTTATAACCAGGGTGAGAACTACTTTGAGGTAGATCTTGATATACACCGGTTTAGCTACATTGCAAGGAGGGGACTGGAATCATTTAGGGAACGCCTCAAGAGTGGCATCCTTGATTTGGGTTTGACAATTCAGGTAAGTTGTTTTTTCCATCTGTAATTACTCCATTTGCTTCAAAACACATGTCATTTTAGTTGACATAGACTACGAGATACAAATTTTATATATTTATAATGGTCGGCAAAATAAAGTCAAACTGCACATTTTTCAGGAGTTCGTCCTTTTAAGAGCGGTTAGCATTGATTAGAGGTTTCACACCTTTCAGACCATTTACTGATGTATTTCATGAATAGGCAAACAAGTTGGTATGTTACCATTTGTGGAGAGAGAGAAGGAGAGAGAGAGAGTACAAGAACACCATGACGCATGTAAACATCAATATGCAGAGCTATTGATTGGGATACGCAACCGTAGCGAGCACTCAAGCTAAAAGTCTAGGGCTAAATTTCGGGAAAGATAGTGACAATGCTGGTTGCCCCACTATGGACATAGAGACGAGCTTTGTTGCTGAGGATCAAAGTGAGTAGGAAGATGGAAGGCTTCTCAAGATTGAATATGGATGCAATGCAATCTGTACAAATCCACCATGCTATTAGGACCACCAGGGAGGAGAGCCCCATGTGGTGGCTAGCCGACGAAGTGTTGAAGGTCATAGTCCACTAGTCAATGAACTCTTAGCTATTTTCAGGGGGGATCCTGGTTGAGCGGCACAAAGACAACATATTTTGCCGTACTTGGTGCAATAACAGGCACCCTCTACCACATAAAGGAGTAGAAGTGACCGGCCAAATCATATCATCACTAACGCACCAGTGAAATGTTAGTAGTTCCGAGTCAGTGATGACTTTGCAATCATTGACGGGCCAAGAGGCCTGTTAGTGATGATGAATACTAGATATGGGCTATCCTGTCAATGGTAACAATCCCAATGCAGCAAGCAGTGGAATATCACCGTCAACCTCTATGTAGAGGCAGACAGTGATGTCAAATTCTGGCTGGCAGTTTTTAGCTGCACTGCTATCATTCTCCTAGAAGTACCACAGTGTTCGTCATCTACACAACAAGAACAACACAAATAATAAGAACAACAAGAACAACAACAACAACAACAACAACAACAACAACAACAACAACAACAACAACAAAGCCTTTTGTCCCAAACAAGTTGGGGTAGGCTAGTGGTGAAACCCATCAGATGTCATGACCAACCATGGTTCTAGAACATGGATGGCAAGCTTCCCTGAACCCCTTTCCATAGAGAGTTTTTTGGTGATACTCCAGTCCTTTAGATCTCTCTTTACGGACTCGTCCCATGTTAAATTCGGTCTACCCCGACCTCTCTTGACATTACCAGCACGCTTTAGCCGTCCACTATGCACCGGAGCGTCGTAACATCAAATACAAATTACATATATAAAATCTATTATGTTGCATTTCATGGCATTCACATATATTTCTATCTTCATATACAAATAATTGCATATCATGATAATCACATTAGTAGATTTTCACTTAGAGGATTTTGTATCCTTCGTTTGCTACTTCTCGATAAATTTATGAGGTTGCATTCAATATCCGGACTATTGAAGGAAATAATGTATGTTGAATTCCAATTGCCAGATATCAACACCCGTGGTAAATCATGCTAAAAATATTTTGGAAAAATTTCTATATATGTGTGTGTGTGAATTAAGTAGAGTGATCTAGTTTGGAATAAATATACCATTGTCTTGCTAACAATTGCAGTTTCGAATAAATAGTTGGCGCAGTTGTAACAGGTAATCTTGCGAAGAATCAATATTTTTGTACAATGCGATAGAAATTGAGAAAGTTCGGTTGCTAGACATTCTTCTTGCATTGTACATAGCACTTGTTAAAAGAACAACATGGTGAACGATGTCTCCCTGTTTGAAAAAAGAGCAAAGTATACTTAGCTCAACACAAATAGAAGACAACACTAATTATTTTCCAAGTATTCTACCTAAGAAACCGATTGAACAACTCTAGGTAAATAAATATGACCTCCTTTCTCCCTAGCTTCTCCAAGAAGCAGGTGGGTGGCACAAAACAGAGAATACCATGTTGGTTTCGTTAATGTTCTTCATAGGACAAAACCAACAATATGATATTTTTGTGTACTATGATAGAAACAACTATATCTGTTCAAGAAGGAGTCCACATGAGATGAGAAGGAATAAGGTCAGAAGGAATATATTTAATAGTATATACAAACTTGGTGAGAGGATATGATAAAATTCTAACGTAGTCATAGGAACATTCTTATATTTTCGGATTCTTAGCACAATGACATAGCAATCAGAACATTCTTATTTCGTAATTTTTAGAACAATGGCATTATGATATTGAAACTGCAACATGATTATTTTTGTAATTGCTATGTACATTATCCCATAGTGATAGAGGCGAAGCTGTCCTGATGTTCTGATGAGAGGTAGCTATCATTTTTGGTGGAAGTCAACTTTAATGATCAGACTACGAACGTGTGAAGATTTCGTGCCTTAGCAATAGCTAGACCAGTACCGAGGGTTTATTGACCATGGCGGAGCATAAGCAACCTGACCATGAGGGTCTATTTCCTTCACACAAACGAAGAAAAAGCAAGAAACTGAGATAGAATCTAGATATTCCGAATTTAAGTGGAAAGCATTAAAGATCCAAGTGGGGTTCTGTGATGTTTTGATCTAGTCGTTTAACACAAATGAAAGTTGTGAGTTGCAAATATGGCGAACTTCTAATCTAAAAAAATCCCAACTATTAATTGACACCCTAAGTGTTTTATTTATAGGGAGGCAGAGGAGAACTTCGTCCACCCTTGGCAAGGTGGGACTAAATTTTGTCCTAAGTCATTTTATCGATTAATACAAACTCTAGAAACAACCTGTTAAATCTATTTCAAAATTAAATGGGCTTGGCCAAAAAATAATGTGGTGTGGCACCTAAAATAAACAAAGGATGATTTTTTTAAAGTCAATCATGTATATTTCGTCCATGTATTTTTATGTCATCATGGTGGCTTCAAAGTGCTGTAAACTCCATTCTTGTTCACTTTGCACGTGCCTTCATCTTGACACTTGATCATACTCCACTGTTCATCCTTCTTGTCCATGCTAGGCCCTTAATTTGTAAACAAAACAAATGTATCCAATTTAGGCGACATCATATTCTCATGAAATTTAGAATAATTAGTAAGAAAAAAAGTAATTGGTATTTTAATCTGCATGCCTAAGCTCTAGTAATTGATCTAACATCGGTAGTAGCAGTGGTTGTGGGTGTAACTGTGGTAGTGATGTCCTCATCACATAGAAATTACAACCCCGTGTTTTTTTAACTCTCACCATATACAATTTAACATGTGCATTGCCATACAGTGATATAGCACAATGACAATTATTCATACTGTTGCCACATTAATATGATGTATAGCACAATTCATATTGGAAACAATATATTCACAAAAAATAGCTTAGGCATTAACACAAAACATATGAGTGTACTGAAATTCACCATCATGGCTATTGTCGTGGACAAAGAACATGGAAGTGATACCGAAGTGAATGACAACGCACGACGGTGCAAGAGACCTGGCAACACCAGGCGCACACTAGGCCTCTTACGGGTACACATGGGAACACACATGACGAGCACACATGGGCACCAAGGTCATGGCACGTTGATGACGATTCACCATTGATGGTGTGCAGCAATGATGCGGTACCATAAATTTTGTGGCGAGGAGGTCAGGAGATGGTGCCACCGGGCACCAAGTAGGACAGGGGACAATGTGGCATAGTGGCACTGATATGGACAATGTGGTGGGGCATACATCACCATTGATGGTGTGCGGCAATGATGCAGTACCGTCAATTTTGTGGCAAGGAGGTGAGGAGATGGTGCCACCGGGCACCAAGTAGGAAAGGGGACAATGTGGCATGGTGGCAGTGATATGGACAACGCGGTGGGGAATACGTCAGTACCAGATATCTCAATAGGGTTAAGTATTTAGAATGGCATTACAATAGTATGAGTATCCGTCCCTCAGCAGTCTTGCTTTCTGGCAGGTTAGTGAGATGGCAGTAGCACTGACTACCACATAAGACTGGTAATTATCAGTGATCTAGGGCATAGGAATTTTAGTTTTCTAATGGTTGAAAATAGTGCCAATACTATTGATTTAATCTATAGGTTACGTACAAGTTGTTTTTCATTTGATTTTATTATTATTGTAAGTTCTATTCCATGCATGTAAAAATATTTATATATCGGCCATGAGAGGGGGCGGTCTCTTGTGTTTAGAAGTGAGGTGTGTCATTCGATTATGAGAAATTTATGATATTTTGAGGGAAGATTAACCAAACACATTTATTTTCCTCCTCTAGTTAATATGGTGTGATTTGAATGCACTTCTTCTTTCATTATCTTTGATCTATAATTCAAAACTCGATGTGTAAATGTAATTTTTGCTGTGAATAATTAATCAGACATACTTGATTGGACTTGAATGAAACTTGGTCGAAATGGATTACACAAAGCGAATATTACAAGATAAAATAAATTAGATCATTACTAAAAATATCTACTATTTATACTAGGCACTTCTTTTCCTCCACCTTGACACCCACGACGAAGTCGTGGGCTCTCTCTATTCGGCCCAAGGCCAGTTATACAGTCTCTTGTGACACTGCCATCTCAGCTTTAGGCTAGCTATAGTTTTCACGGTCGGGGCCTATAGCTGCTTCCACAGAATTGTGGGCCTTCGCATCTATTGATATTGACTCTATCCATAATTTTTCGAGGCTGGGGATTGTGTCATTGCATTGACGAGCTTCCACCTATGGACGCTTGTCCTCCTCCCACTCGACCATAAAGGCTTCACACGATGCCGACTGCTTGTCCATTGGTCGTCATCTCCGCTAGAGGCTGGTGTGCGTAATGATCTAACTACACGTCAAAGACCAAGAACTTCCTGGTTCATCTAGCCTGTTCGGGCTCTGCAGTGACAAGGCTTGACGTGTCATTAGAAGTGTTGTAGATTAGTTAGAGTAAGGGAAGGAAAA